ATAATAAAATAAAATATGATAATTTTTTGTTTCTTTAAAAATAATAAAAAATTTCAAGTACTATTATATAATTATAGATTTTAGGAAAAAAAAATTTTTTTAATAAAAAATTTTGAAAAAAAAAAGCAAAAGTATTTGATATAATTAATATTAAAATTTTTCAATAATTTATATTTTTTAAAAATATATATATAAAACATAGTTTTTTATTAAGATTTATCAAATTTTTAATTATAACAATGGTTTTAATAAAATTTATTTTTAAAATATTCTAATAATCTTTAATATATTTTAAAGTAAAAATAAAGAAAACAATTAATAATTTTATTACATAAATATTTTTAATATTAAAAAATCCTTAAAAAGAAATAAAGATTTTTAAATTTATATTTTATTTTTTAATTTTAAAGATTTTTAATAAAAACATCAGTTTTTTAAGTTTTTTATTATAACAAATTTTAAAACTTTTTGTCTAATTAAATTTATTGATAATATATTTAAAAAAAATAGTAAAAATATTTAAAAAAATCAAATAAAAGTTTCAAAATTCAAATAATAATTTTTTTTAAATAGGTTATTATTTAATAAAATATTTTTACTTTTGATTTTATAAATAATTTTTTTTATATTTATTTATGAAAAATCTATTTCTTGAATTAACAAAAGAATCAATAGAAAAAATTTTTTAATTATATCATTATTTTATTTGTAATTATATATACAGTATATATTTTGAATTTAATCAAACAGATAATTTCTTTATTATTTACAATAGTTTCTTCAAACTTTTTGTTATCCAATGAAAAAAACAATGCAACAATGGTATTGTAAAGATTATTCTTGCAATTTATAAACATTATTATTGTTGTTATTGTTATTTAATTGGGAAAAACATTTCACTCCAGTATTATTATTATTATTGACATCAACAAGATGATTTAATAAAGAAAATTGCCTAGCCTGATTAGGCCTAACCCAAATATACATACATATATATATATTGTAAATCAAGAAGATAATCAGTCATAATGATTTTTTAGAATTTTGGCGTCTTATTTTGGCGGTAAAAATAAAAATTAGCTATAGTAGTTTAAAGTGTAACATCTAATCAATAAAGTTCGGTGGCGATTTGGCAAGCACGTGAGTTCTTAAAAGCTCATTCTTTGCTTGGAGGCTTGCCAACAAAGTACTTTTTGCGCAGAGATAATTATTCCAAAAATCAGTGTGTTTGGAGACCAGCGGCATACGTACATAATCCACAAAAACTGTACATTGTTAACCCGACAATTAATAAGTTTACTATAACGACAAATTTAGTCAGACTCGTGCATTCATTCGTTACAACGAAATGTAAAGAAGATCTACTAATTTGCCGAAAATATTTGATAAAGAAAGAGCTGTACATCAATGGACATATTCCTTTTATAGCAAATCCTATTGTACTAGTTTCATTATACGTGCCCTAATTAAAGAGTCGATCTTTTTTTTCTTGAAAGAAAAAAAAAAAAAAAAAAATTTGAGCCGTACGATACCTTCGAGTACGTAATGCGATGGTCGTGGGAGAATTCACAACGCTTCGCAGAGAATTGTGTAAACTACACGAATCCTGAAGTTTTGGTATTGTAACAGAGCGCACGGAATAATAATTAAAAAAAAAAAAAAAAAGAGACATTCAATTGTTCTTGCATGCAAGTGGCTTAATGAGCACAATTCAGTAAATGGAATCATATGTGTAATTTGATTTGTCAGAATACAAAGACTAGTTCGTTCGTAATGGTCATTAACAAACTTGGATTTGCAACATGTGTGCTGCTAGATCCATCTGGTAGATACTTCTATTTCCAATCTGCTGCAGGGGACTCCACTATGGCAGTAAATCCACGATGGATTCACGGTCTCAATTTCCTTCACGAGCCAATTGTCACTCTTAATATACATGTTTTTTTTTTCACATACTTTCCGAAGCGCCCCCTTCATATTAATGATAATTAAATAATTCAACATTTAACGCGAATGAACGGAACGCGTAGTTACGCGACATGAATTTTTTATTTTTACGCGAATAACCGATTGATCATTAAAAGAAGTGGAAATTATCGTAATTATTTTTTTTATACTATGTACACATTGCAGTAGTTAGAAGCTGGTTTTTGTGAATGCCATTTCGTTTTAGGTTTTTTTTTTTTTTTCTTTTTTCTTTTTTTTTTTTTTTAGGAAAAATTTTAGTGCCACCGATCACTTGTTTAGTTTAATTACAGAGTTTTAATTGTCCACGTAGGTATTGAGGCTAAGTAGAAAACCGTAAAGAAAAAATTTTTTCACACCTAAAGCGATGTGAATGAGATGAAATTTTTGATTTACAATCACAAATCCGTTAAAATTCAAAAAATTTTGCGACCTCCGCACGGCGTGATTTCTCGTAACGAGGATGTCTGGAATTTCGTTAAATCCATCCAGCTTGCGAGAAAAACTCCCAAAGTTTGCACGCTTTATTCACGTCTATCCTAACAATTCTCTGTGCATCCACCTTTCTAAATGGCATCAGTCTTTCTCGATACTCCTTAGCAGCAGTAAGAATGATCAATTTGGAATTGAGATATTGTTCGGGTGTTAGTCGCAGAATGCTGCAGGCTTTGGCCTCAACTCTGTGTAAGACTTCGGAATGGACCTGCGACTCGATATTTGATTCGACACCCCTCCAAGTGATTTTCGGTCGGTCAATTGTGTCAAGGAAATTGTAGCTGAGGTCAAGGTCTTCGAGATTGCCCATCAATTCGTCAAATGGCATCGGGGGCGGTGGTGGTTGTGTCTTGTCAATTTTAGAGTCTATGATCGACTTGATTCTCCTATAGCCAGTTTTGCGTTTATACGATGGCTTGTCGAGGAGGGCCTTCGGATTCTTTTTATATATTTCATATACATTGATCCTAAAACACATCGAATCATCATCCGTATCTTTATCTGGACTGCGAACAGGATATGGATTCTTGCGAGGTCTTTTACGTGTACATGACTTTGAAATTTCAGCTGGAGGAGTTGCGCAAAGATTCTCTGACATTTGGGTGGACGTGGAATATGGGGTACACGGAGAGCTTAGCGAAAAGCCTACGGGTGACCCGGAAGTTTCTGAATTTGGAGGTGTTATCAATTGCATTATTTCTGGTGGAACCTCTGAAAGACGCCATCGACTTTTTCTTGATGATTTAGCATTATTTAATGGAATTTCTCCACTATCGCTGGGTGTCATTGGATAGTTATCTGCATGTCATTTAACGAAATTTTTACAAAAAGAAGAATGTTCATCATCGAAAATCATTTTCTCAAGAATTCCATTAACCATCAATCCGCCCAATTCAAAAAAAAGACACAAAAAAAAATTCATTTCATGATTCGATAAAAATTTTTTCAGTGTTCTTTCTCAATTACCTTGAATGTTGTTCAGGTTATTCATCATCGTGTAGATACGAGGTGGCGTAATGCTCATGATTGAAGCTTTCATGAGAGAAAAAAAAAATAAAATAAAATAATAAAGTGAAGATTGATTGATTTTCTTTTTTGTTCGATCTGAACAAGGGCGGAAAGTTGAAGTGATGAAAAATTTAAAATTTCAAAAAAAAAAATGGGGGATAACCGTAACCCTTTTATTGTTTGTAAATTTAGGAGTGGGTGATCTGTGTCGTACGAAATGATTGCCTGCAAAAAAAAAAAAAAAAAACAAAAAAAGGTCTGTTGCAGATGTTAAATTGCTTTTTTATAGAATACGTATACATGAAAAAAAAAAAAAGGTTTTTTTATTGTAAATTGATTTATGCGTACCGTAATTTGAAAAAAGGGTGACCGTATTATATAAATGCCTACGTCACTGGATAATAATGATACGAACATGATCAGTAATCAAAAATCCAATCAACCAAATGAATTTTTAGGCTATCCCACAAACTAGCACGTACGTAGTATTATTATTACGTAATATATATATGTATATATAATTTGATCAATCGGGCATCAATCGTCCACAACTTAACAAATCGAGGAAAACATCAATTACGTTACGTGCGCACCAAGGATGACGGGGAAGCACCGGTTTTTTTTTTATATTATTAATCTTCTCAATAGCTCTCGCCACCTCAACGACTTTTGCATTTTGGCGATGCATAATTTAATTGGTGGTGGAAGCTTTCTCATTTTGCAAGTTTCAATCATCATTCGTAAAATTGGCAATTACATACCCGGCAAGGTGAGACAAAATGTTCTTAAATTGAGGGCGGTCATATTTGTGCGTGTGTGAGAGAGATAATTCTTCCGGAGGATGTCACTCTGATTAACCAAAAGGTCATGGGTACTTATGCCAATTATGTGTTAATTGTTGATAGCTGATTTACACGACAATGTATTTTATTTTATTTCGTTACACTTTCAAATGACATAATTCTCTTTGGTAAAATAAAGCATTCGCTAAAGGTAAATACCAATTACGATTAACCTTGGCTTCGTTCGTCACCTTGAATGCTAAGAACCATTTTGCTGCCTCCAACGCATATATGATTACGTGTGTCCACCTACTTCCTCTGTCTAGAAAATTTTCCCGCCAAATATTGCATTAAGTAATCGTTTTGTACACTTCAATCAATGCCTTATTAATAAAAGCATACTATAAAAAATAATTTTTTATCCGATCACGTGTTTCAATTGTCGTAAACAATGTCACATGATACCTAATTGGTGGTACCAATCACCAGGTTGGTTGAATGGAATTAATTATACAATTAAACTTACGTTTACCGAAAAATTTGGCATCAGATATTTACTGAAACATCATATGCCAACTCCCCAAACGTCAAAACTTCGTTTGTTTAGTAATTTCCGAATGAAGTAAACACCGATGAATTTACGCATGGGAATTCGCATTCGTGACAAAAGAGTCCGGTTCAAAAGAACGCGAATAAACATAATCTTGTAAACATTTCTTAACGCACAGCTCCCACTTTTGTTGGTTGATACTGGGTTGGGTCAAGATGATGAATGTCGCATGCCCTCGTTTCTCCTTTCCCTTGTTGCGTCTTCTCACGCTGCGTGTACATCCGCCACCATTCCTTTACGATTGAGATCGTGAGATTTCATTGGTGCGGTGATCTTTTTTAAAAACCCGTTTTTTTTGACATGCTATGACATAAAACGTATATCAAGAGACTTGAAATGTTGCTTCCTAGAATTCGCAATCAAACAACAGTTTGTTCAAAATTATTCATTTCTCTCAATCAATTCATTAATCAAAATAATCCTCTCTTAAAAAATTCCTATTCTTCAATCTACCAAAGGACATTACTCCTTTCACGTATTTCCACGTCATATTCAATTTCAAAATGCTCTCACTCGTTTTCCACCTTCCAGCCTGCATGTTACAGTAGCAGCGTTCCCCCTTCGACAAAAGAACAATGCGAAAAGGCTACTTTCGAGCATTCCTGGCTTAACAAGTATCTTCCGTCAAAACTTGTACCGTATGTTCTTCTTACACGTTTAGACAAACCTATAGGGGCTTGGCTCTTATATTTACCTTGCGGTATGTTGATTGGCCTCCCTTTTTTTTTATTTTAGCTGAAGAACTAGAGATGTATGATTTTACTTTTATTACATTAATAGCATGGAGTATTACGATGGCATCGTATCATGCTCATTTACCCATCACCAAAACCATCTACATGATGATGTTGTTTGGTACCGGTGCATTCATTATGAGAGGTGCTGGTTGCACAATTAATGATTTATGGGATAGAAACATTGATAAGATGGTAGAACGCACGCGAGACAGACCTCTTGCCTCGGGATCAGTGACCCCTTTTCAGGCATTGACTTTTCTGGGGTTACAGTTATCAGCAGGATTGGCAATATTGACCCAGTTGAATTATTATAGGTAGTAGATTCATTTCATTTCGATGCTGTCGATTTTATTAATGTTTCTTTCAAACTTTAGCATTTTACTTGGTGCAACATCCCTAAGTATTGTTGTCGTGTATCCCTTCATGAAGCGCGTAACGTACTGGCCACAATTGTATCTTGGTATGTCTTCTTACCATCACATCTCGTAACCACACACCTTAACAATGATTGAGCTGGCATGTATTTCGAATCATCAAACAGGTCTTGCTTTCAATTGGGGCGCTTTGTTAGGTTGGTCGGCAATGATTGGCAGTAATGATTGGTCTATCACCCTCCCGCTGTACGGTGCCGGTGTATGTTGGACTCTGGTGTATGACACTATTTATGCTCATCAGGTAGAAAAAGGTTTCTTCCTGATTCTGAAGGAATTCCATTATATATCATTTTCGCTAATTTTCCCTTTGATTCTTTTCTCCTCAGGATAAGAGCTTCGACAGCGTGATTGGTGTGAGATCAACTGCTCTTCTTTTTGGAAATAGGACCAGGCAATTGCTGACTTTCTTTTCTGCATCAATGTTATCACTTCTCGCCTTGTCCGGGCAAATGAACGGTCAGGGCTGGCCGTTTTACTTGGTTTCTATTTTTGGAACTGGCATGCACCTTTTTTGGCAATTACGCACGGTTAACTTTGATGATGCAGCAGATTGTGCCAGAAAGTTTCGTAGTAACAAATGGACTGGTAGTTTAGTGCTTGGTGGAATTTTGGCCGACGTGGCCTTGGAAAATTTGAAATCTATTTTGTAATAAAATTATTATATAAAGTTTTTTTGTTTTTTTTTACAATGCACAAGCGGTCACTGAAAATTATTGCTAATCGTAAGAATCCAAATCATTGATTTTCTATCTCATTTGTGTGGAATCAATGTACAACATTACGAACGATATCATCAAAAACACATGTATCTATCTCATGATCCGTGAAATTCACGTTCCCATTCTGCCTTTGCTTTATTACCAGAGTTGACACTAAGATGTCCAAACAAAAGATGTAACCTTCCTAATGCCACATTTTTTAGATATCTATCTTCGGGTATTTCATCATCCTTATCTTCTTTTTCACTCCATCTCGACGGGGAAAATAACCTGGTCCAATTCCATTCGGATTTTGACGAAGGTCTACATGTGATGGACACTGGGTACGATAAGACGTTTGACAGTAGATGATCAAAGAAATAGAATTGGGCTTGAAGTAAATCATTGTGCTTGGTAATTTGTGTAGAAATGCTAGTCGCCGTAAATTCCGAATATCCATGTGAAAATTGTGCGCTATGGTGAATAGCACTTTCTAGAAACTCTTGGGTTAAAGATTTTTCTTGGGAATACTGCGCGTTGGCGTGTAAATGTATATTATCATTAGTAGTAGTATTAGTATTTTTATTATGAATTTTGTCCAGGCCATGTTTCATGATGTACAGTTCAGTGAAACATTCATCACTCCACTCTTGCCGAAACTCTTCGTCGTCGTCAATCGCATGCTCGGAATGCATAAATTCTGTTGCGTACCGATCATTTCCAACCTCGCTTGATTGAATAAATTTGTTCCATTCATCGAACTCAACTGTTTCTTTTTGCCATGCTCTTTCGAAGTCTGAGGTGGAACGAAAAGAGTTTGTTGTGTCCTTTTGCTTTGTCGTTTGCATACTCCACGAAGATGAAGCAACACCAACATCTTGAAAGAGTTGGTTGGTAAGAGAAAATACGGGATTGCTGGTCGACCCAGTGCAAGTCGAGGACATCATGGTTGACATTCTTTTTTTCTTTTTTTTCTTTTTTTCTAGAGAGAAAAAAAACTGTGAATGTTTCATTACTTCAATTTACGCACGTATTACAGCTTTTTGCAACGAGGATCGACAGATGTTTGCCCAAAAATGGATATACTCGATGGATAAGATTATCACTTTGATTAATTGAATTAAAAATAATGTACAGGTACGACCCATCCGGCTAGGATATACAACAACTCCAAATAATCCGGTTCCCCGGATTTCAAACTGGAATTTTCCCGATCGAGATGCTAAAATCTGAATTCTTTTTTTTAGCCATGTTTTGTTTATTCAAAATAAATTTATTAATAGTTTTTTTTATTTTTAAAACATATTAAATAAACAACAAAATAATTTTATAAAACAATCAAATCTAAGAAATTTATAATTAAATACAGTATATCATTTTGATTTTTGATCGATATACGTATTTATTAAAATAAATATAATTATATAAAATATTGTTTTTTAAAAAATCAATAAAAAAAATATTTTTTATATTTAAGAAATACATATATACATATATATTCTATTGATAAGCTTTTTTTAAATTGTTTTGTTATTATCATAATCATTGTTATCAGGATTTTATAAATATCATTCTTATTTTTTTATGTTTTTTTTTGATAACCATATAAAATTTTTTTAAAAAAATATATAATAATACAAATAATTTTAAAAATTGTTTTTTAAAACTAAACTTTTGAATTTATTTTATACTTTTTAAAACATTGTTTTTATTAATTAAATAAACTGTGATTTATAATAGTACACATAATTAATTTTTATATTTTGATTTCTATTAACTTACAAATTAATAGTATAATAGTTAATATTTCAAAATCTTGTATTATTATTATTTTTTTCATAATTAAATAAATATTTATAAAGTTTATTTTAATCTTAATACAAAATATATAATAATTTAATTATTTTTATATATAAATATTTTTAAATATAATACTTAAATATTTGTTCTTAATAAATTAATTTGTATTAATTTATATTATCTTCCTATTTTAAATATATTAGATATTTATACTACTGCAATATATTTCCTTAATCTATTGTCATGTTATATAAAATTAACAGACTTCTATAAACTTTGGATCCATTAATTATACATAATTGATATATAATCAATGTTTTGTACAGTACTATATCAAACTCTACATATTATATCCTAATCCTTATTACAATTTTTATATTAATAATATATTAAAAAATAATTAAATATTTTTTTTTATTTACAAAATACATATTTTATATATCTATTATGACTTATTATATTACATTTAAATATTATTATTTAGGATTAAAAGTTTATTATAAATTGCTTTAATCTTAAATATTTTAATTTTTATTTGCTTAAATAAGATATTTAATAAGTTTTTTTTCTTATAATGTTTTTAAAATTCTTTTCGATTAATTTTTTTTAGATTTAAAAATTTTTTTTTATTTAACTTGAATTTTATTTAAATAAATCTATTAAATTATACTTTTTTTTAATATAAATCTTTAATAAATAATTTTTTTTTAATACTAAATAGAATCTTTCTTATATCTTTATTAATTATAATATAATAAATGTAATATATTTTATATAAATTAAAATAAAATAAAGTATATACAGTAGGCACCAAAAGTAACGCCTGATTTTTTATCAAATCGGAAATTTATATGCACACATGATTTTATTTAATTTTTCGTTACACATTTACAATTTTTTTTTTTTTATGCTAATACTTTGTAGGACCACCATTTGTATCCAATACTGTTTGGATTCTACGCGGCATTGAATCAGTAACTCTCCTTAAAATAAGTGGATCTAATTCTAACCATGCCTTATTCAAGGCTATTTTAAGTTCGTCTATAGTTCGCGGGAAGTCTTTTTTTGTCTTTGGACCTTATCCTTCAACACCTTCCAAACATTTTCAATAGGATTAAGGTCGGGAGAATTGGCTGGCCAATCCATAACTTTAATTTTTTTTTTATCAAACCATTTTGTAACACTCTTTGCAGTGTGTATAGAAGCGTTGTCCTGTTGAAACACTATATCTCGATGAACTAATGAATATGCTACATTAAGAAATGGTAAGAACTTATCTTCAAGAATCTTTAAATATGTTTTTGCTTTGATTTTTTCTTTTTTTTCCTTGTATTCGTCACAAAATACTAATGGATCTTTTAACTCTCCTATAAAGCATGCCCAGATCATTAACGAACGCCTACCACTTTTAAAACTTGGTGCTATACAGTCAATATTATATCTTTTTCTTGCGTGACACCATATTTTTATTTGACGTGATTGCTTGCCAATTTCAACACTTGATTCGTCAGTAAAAGCAACACGCCACCAATAATATATTGTCTTTTCTCTATTTTTTTCACACCAATTTATACGTGCAGTTA